AGTCGAGTGTATAACAGAAACCGAAGAGTTAAACATGGATCGCGTTCGAAAATTCGGAGTAGGTAGCTTGAGAGTTGTGTAGCAATCAGTGGCGTTTAAGTTGACAGTGAATTCGATCAAATAGAGTACCTCATACTATGAATGATGTTTTTTTTTTTTTTTATATACAGAGCGATTATCGAGTATTTGCAATCTACACGCGTTATGCGCAATAAACAAGTTTGACCAAAATATTAATGACTATGAATGACATGAAGGGGAACGCTCGTTGTCGAGTCGGCTTAAAAATGTACGATTCTATGAATGATTTATTTGTTTTCATTTCTTAAAAAAAGCGTGACAGTAACATTTGCCATCTCCGTTTATCTAACGGACGATATAGCAAAAATGTGTTTTCGTACCTCCAATAGTACCCAGGATCTAATAGACCTAAAACAAAAATTATTTCACTAAATTAAAGACGACAACAATATTATTACAAAGTATGCTTTCAAAGAGGAATTTTCGGATATCGCAGATAATCTATTAATGTACTTAAAACTTAATAGAAAATTGTTTAAAGAATGTATCAACAAATCCCTCTTTGAAAACATAAAAAAAAAAAAAAATTATTCGTTGAATCTATAGTATAAATACTGTTCTTTATAAAATGTATCCTTAACTCCCTTTGTTCTAACCTTAACAAGAGAGGTGAATAAAGAATGCCTTTGTTGCTATACTATGCGTGCGAGACATCAAACAGAGAAACAAATATTTTTAGAGGCCCTTAATGTCGAGAACATACAGAGTGATCGATATAACACACGACACTCGTCGTCTAAGAAAATGTCTACTTATTTTCAAGAATTTATTTTTTAGAACATTTAGGAAACAAGTAGCAAAATACAGAAACAAGTATAAAACGTTCTTTTTTTTTGTCACCATTATTTTAGTGGGTGAATTCGCTACCTACTTTTGATTTTCAAACGGTAATCTATACTTAAAATATTCTACGAATAAACGGCGTTTTAATTTCAATAAATGTTTGTGTTGAAATTTCTGATTTCCGTCGACCCGTTGACGAGATATCCCATTTTTAAGTTTTGACGAGCAGAGAGTAGTGGTGCATCATTATTTGTATGGCGGCACAGCAAGTGGCGTTTTAATAGTATTCCGCCACTCTCCTCCTATCTAGCTTTAAAAGTGGAATAATTCGTCAACGGGTCGACGAAAATTATAAATTTCAACTCCAACATTTATTTAAACTTCAACTGTATACGTCATTTTTAGTAGATATAGAAATTATCGTGTGAAAACCAATAGTCTCACCCCTTAAAACGAGGGCGACCGAAAAATAACAGAAATAAAACATTTTAGAGCGCAACTTATTTCTCAGACGATCCACAAAACAAATTCCGAAAAAAGTTAATACTTTCCGCAAGAATGTCTTGCGCTATGTCGATTACCCTGTATAAACGATAAAAATGTATTTCCCGGTCGATGTTTCAACAAACTTTTTTTAAAAAGCGTTTCGCGCATAATTTCACGTGCTGGGAGTAGGGGATTCCAGACATTCCTCCCCTCCCCCCAGACCTCACCACCGATAAACGAGAAACGAAAATATTTGTTATCGTTTCGCGGTAAGCAACGTCACTACATAATATCGGTATAGTAAACCAATCCTGTTTTTAGTCTTTGAAGACTTGACGAAATTATCAAGCCAAGTTTCCGAGATTAACCGTATTAACCGATATATATTTTTTTTTAGTTTCGCGACCAATGGCCGACGAAAAAGAACAATCTCTCGTACATAATAATAATATGTCACCGCGTTCGCAATCACAAAGGTTCACAAAGACAATTGCGAGTTTTTCAATTACTACCAACGCACACCTATAAGTAGGTAGGTACTGATTTTAAAGCCCGTAAAAATTCGTTTAGATTTTTAACCTTGTTCCGTTTTTGTTTTGTTGGGCAGTGCCTACCTATATAGCTATTGTGTTGTGCTTTGTATTCGGAAATTAGTTGTTTTTTTTTTCCGAGCGAGAGCGTAATTACCTACATATTATAAAGAGACAAGCCCGTAGCCGGCAGTCAATGATTGGACATTACACAGACGGGGCGGGAAACTGGGGTAAGGGGAAAAGGGGAGGGCAGTCAAAACTGGCACAGTAAGTTATTGTCATTATCGTTATTAAATTATTATTTCTGACTTTATTTCGAACGAAGAAAACGCCGCGGACGTTGGTGAGGGTGTCGAACGCGCCGCACGAAAATACTGTCGAAAAAACCGTTTAAGGGGTAAAGATTAGATAACCGGAACGACACTACATAATTTTTTTTTCGTTTTATTAGTCGTCGTATTTTTTTACCACGCGGTTCGCCGTGCGTCTAGTCGATCTTAGTTTTACGAGTTTCACCGGTTTATATATTATGGTTTTTTTGTTTTTCGATAAACCCGTTCGGAAATATCACCGCGAAATTATCGCGGTTTCCGTCGCGTTCTATATAAATATTTTTTTTTTTCATATACGCAAATATTATCTAAGTTTTCGATTTCGCTGCAGCACAGACCTTTAAAATCGGGTTTTAGAGATAAAACGTCTATTATTAACAAGATTTTTTCCAATATTCACAACGATTTTCTATACGATTGTCGAACATTAATTTTACACCGATTTCCGTTGGCGATTCACCCGCGGTTAAAAACTTATCGTGAGCCGAACCTAACCTAACTTATGACTAGACGCCGTTTTTTTTTCGGTCGAAACACGTTTCGGATTTTCGCGTGGGTTTCCGACGGGTTTTCTCGGTTCGGCGGTCCGTCCGGACGACAAAGACGACCGGGACAACCCGACGAAAACGAAACCAACGATATCGCGTTTCGACGCGACACGTGGGTCGGCGGCGTCGCGGCGGCCGGTCCGTGGCGCACGAGTTTTCGGTTACCACGCGGTAGGTAAAAACGACGACGACGGAGAGGCGGCAGAAACGACCGCGCGCGTTATTCGGTCTTTGTGTCCCTCTCTCCGACCGTCGCGCCGCCGCCGCGGAGGGACTAAAAACACGTCGGCCACGGGTATGTATGATGTTTTATCGGCCGTCGCTCCCCCCGTTACAATACAAACGACCCTCTTTTACGTTTTTCCCCTCTCGTTTATGGTGCTTACCGGCGTCGTACGTTTCGGTAGGGGCAGACGGGTTTCTTCGAAACGGCGGCGGCGGCGGCGGCGACGACGCACCGCGCGCGGGATTATTTCGCGTTGAAACAACACGTTACCGGATTTTCCCCCCCGGTTCCGTCAGTGGTTTACCTACCCGCCCGCCGACCGTACCGGGACGACGAAACGACGGCGGGACGGAGAGATTTCGACGACGGCGAAAACGGATCTACCGACGGCCTGTACGGCGGCGGCTGGGGTGTGCGTGTGCGGCGAAGACGTATGAAAACGCAATGGGAAGGAAAAAAAAAAAAAAAACCAGTTTTTCACGCGGGCCCACAGCCTATTTGTCTACGGAACCGGTCCGGTAGTAGGCACACGCACGCGGAACCACCCGGAAACGGCCGCGTAACCCTAACCGAGTGACTCGACCGGTACGGATCGCGCCGGATAATGTTACCAGACCCACACGTACGCGCGGTTTATAAACACGAAAAACAAAAGCGGCTTACTTTTAGCGCTGGTCCGTACGACGACCGGCGGCGATTCGACGACTTCGTTCCCGGTTTCCACGTCGTCGTCGTCGTCGTCGTCTCCGACGCTCAAGTCTTCCACCGACTCATCGTTTACGAGCATGTTGGTACAAGAGGATATTTGGTACCAGACTACGCTCACAAAGGCCGTGACGATGAAAATGATAGTAAAAGCGAACATTGATGTACGGCCGCACAGTGTTTTAATTCGATCAAACCTTTCCGGGGCCGCGGCAGGTGGTGGCGCGTAATAGTTACTGTCCATTGCCATGTAAGAAAAACCAAGAACTGGGACATGAGCCAGTATCAGGGTTGAACTGAAAACCAAATTCATATCAGCAAAAAACATTCGACAGTGGAGGCGTGTAAAATATCACGGCAGTACCGGCCGCGGCGGTGAAAGACCATTAATGCTGATGTTTCGTACGGGAAAAAAACACCGGTAGCGAGCACGAACAACACGAAACAAGCAAATTAAAATGAGAAAAAAAATTACGCGAAATTAATATATAACATATTACATATATAAATATACAGACATAAAAAAAAAAAACCGAAAAATAAATGTCAAAAAACGGCACGGCATTCGGCAACACACGCGAGCGCGGACGGTTACACGGGCACACGCTATACACACGTACAGGACGCACAGGACGCACAGACGCACACGTACGCACACGGAGAGAGAGAGAGAGAGATAGCGAGTGTGTGGTGGCTCAGTGGCGCGACGCGGCCAAGACGGTACCGGGGCGAACGGACGAATGACAAGAGTGCGAGAGCTGCACGCTGTAGTTGGTGCTCGGTGGCTGCTGCCGCTGCTGCTGTCGTGGTCGTCGTGGTCGTCGTCGTCGTCGTCGTCGGCCGGCCGAGTCACAAAACACGCGCGTTCACTGCCGCCGCCGCCGCCGCCGCCGTCACCACCACCACCACCACCACCACGATGCGGACGCGAGTTTCACCGCGGCGTGACGACCGAAAAACGCGTACGCCGCGCCATCTGTCGGACGGCCGTAACCGCGCGCGCGGTATTCGCCGACGCTTTGTTGTCGTTTGTGTTCGGCGCTATCGACGACCACGACGACGACGTCTCAACAGTAATAATATTTGGGGAAATATTTCTCTACGATACGACGCGTGTTATTAGATATTATGTTTTGTTTAAACCACTGAAATTACCGAACGATGGATAATTAAAAATAATGAAAAAACATTCAGACGGGAAATACTATTCCTAACCTCATTGAACGCTGAAATAATCTCGGAATCCTAATACTTTAAGCCTACGCTGTCGTTCTGCTAGTTTGCGCCCCCAACAAATTACGTTGTAATGTTTCAATCTTTTCGTTTTCCGTCGCCTGTTGGATTTATTAAATTGCCATTTTCTGTTTCTAAACCAGAAATGGTTCGACCAGAAAACTCGCCCAAATCGTCAACCTCGGGATTGATTTCTATGGTAGCGGATTCTGTCCAGTCGGTCGTCAAGGAGGTCCTTTTAGGTTCCGATTTCCCTTCCTCATTAATAAAAGTACATAGAAAATCGGAAAAACAAGAGTAAAATATTTGATGTTTATATTTCGATTTTGTTTTTCCGTTAATAATTGTAAAAAACTTTAATTTTCACCGAATATACGTACAGTTAATGGCGATACAATTTTCGTAATATGCCGATGGTTTTTTTTTAAAAATATTTTTTTTGAATTATTATTATAGCTATTCAAAATACTGCGGGCTATTTATTATTCAAAATTGTCGAGGTTTTTTTAAAATTGTTTAACTCCGTAATAAAAGATTACAAAAATTCTCAAAAATCTGTTACGAGGTTCATTATATTACAGTCGTATTTGTCGGCAAACACAAAAATGTTACACCTATCGTCGTGGTCGTAGGTTATGTTTTTTCCGCTGGGTTTCCTATAATCTGACGACAACTTTTTACTAGCCTATAAATTATACTGAGAGCACTCCACTCTGCAGCTTATCATTATAATTGAATGGATTCCCGACAAAATTATTACCTTATTATAAATTACAATATAGGTAATGTCTTATCATATTGTTGTTGAAGAGACGACATTTACTAAAAAAAAAAAAACTAAGCAATTTTTTAAAGAAAATCTTTGAAATGTTAACGATAATAGGTATTGTATTATTATACTTACTATAGATCTATATGATAGCGTAGGCACAAATATAATTTATATTATATCTGCAAATGTACGGTCAGTGGCGTTTTCAGAAATAGTAGGACATGTAGTAGATAGTAAACATCATCTTCTGCTATATTCGACTAGACTACGCGATTCTGAAAGCTAGATTAAAAAAAAATCTAATTTTCAATTAAAAAATCAATATCTTTGTTAAACTTGTTTGAAATACATACAACATTTCAATATTAAATAACCAAGTTCCCATAGTTATTGTATTTTCGAGCCAATGTATTTAAAAGTCCGTGCTCGCCACTGTGTAGGAAACGATATGACGGTCCGTGGAAGTAGAATAATATTCTATTTCTCAGTGGCGTGCCCAGGAATTTCCGACGGAGAGTACGTAGTAAATAATAACCGCGATTCGCGAATAAATCTTTTAGAATCGTCTTATGTTATAATTTTAATTTGACGACGGGAATTTAATATCCGGTTTCAAAAAAAAAAAAAAAGGCCAATATTTATGCAATAAATCGAGCTTTCTTTCTATGGCCAAAAGCTACATAATTTCTCGATCAAATTACCCAGTTGTTTTATTTTTAAGGAACTCGGGGGCGGAAGTAAACAAACTTTTTAACAGGTCGACTATAATCAGTGAGCGTTAGGATTTTTAGGATCTTTGGTCCAGTAAAATACGAGGAAATCGCCGGATGGCGAATAAGAAAACAACAAAAAATTAGAGGAACTTTTCCAGAGTCCAAACATATTAAATATAATCCGGAGTGGAAAGTGACAGTGGGCTGGTGACGCCTGGCGTAGTCAGAACCCACTATTGCACATGGTGTAGGCAGAGAATCCAGAAGGGAAAATATCTCTTGGACAATGCCGTTTGAGGTGGGGAAATGTGGTAAAGAGAGACGTAGAGTCGTTAAATGGAGGCCCAGATTGGAAAACAAAAGCAGCTGACAGAGAGACTTGGATGATTGGTTGTTTGACGGGGTGGTTCTAGTGGCCGTTAATACCAAAGAAGAAGAAGAAGAAGAAGATTACCGCGTCAGCTGACCGCTCTCATCTCGGTATAATATTGTTATGATTGTGAGCTTTCTAGTGGCCCATAGTAATAATAATCGTCGCTGTCGTCCGTATTTTAACCCACCGACCCACTGTAATAAATTTCGTCCAGAGTCTGGAATATCCGGTCGTCGTCGTTTCAAAACTAGTTTCCTTATCGAACCTAGAATGTGTACAATAATATAAGAAGTACCTTGTTACAATACAGTAACGGAATCGTAGGTACCGCGGTACCTATACCGTCGTCGATATTGTACATATCCGACCGGTTAATAACACCACGACGACGGCGGTTTCGTCGTGACACGCGCCAAGGTCGGCTAACAATATTGTTATTATTACTAATCTGGAATCTCACGATTTCCCTATATTATTATTACTATTATTATTAATACCCGCGCCGAGCTACACAGGTGTTGTACGGCTACACCGAGTCGAAATACCGCGGAAAACGAATATTATCGCCGCGCGCCGCCGACGGTTGTAATTGTTACGCGTCTCTCTATCGGAGAGAGAGTGGGTTTTAGGGTAATGGATTACAATGTTAATAATAACGTATGCTAGTACGTATACGTATGTACGCGTATGCATGGTATATTGGGTACCCGCCTAAAAATAAATGACGTGTACGATAATATTACAACGCGGACGAGGACTGGTTTGAATGCGAAAAAAAAAAAAATTTTAACGGTCAACTCGCGTGTGTAACGTAAAATACGGTATTTTTACAATACTACAATAATATGTAATATTTTTTTTTTTCATATATATATATATATACAGCGATTACGAATCAATGACCGTCACGACGACGACGACTGTACATTTTGAGTTCCAGACACCGTGATCTACGTACATCTACGGCAGCGTATCTACGTCATCGTCGGGGTTTTCAACGCGATATTGAACCATATTGAATCATCGCACTGTCGCGGTCGTGTACGACCACTGACCACGCGAAACACGACTGTTAAACAATAACAATATGATAAAAATGTTCTCCCCGGATTAATGAGAATGAGTAAAAAAAAAAAAAAAAAACTACTACCTCCTACCTGTTACAGTGCATTGTGCAATGGCGAAGGCGTAACACGCGTCATTGACAACTGAAAATCGTGTAACGCGTTCGACGCGCGTCAGGAACGATTTTGGACCCGGCGAGGAATGTATTCGTTTTACCGATGTGCGCGTGTTTTTCGATTCTGAGTGTAGCGGGGACAATGTATTGGTTTTACAAAGATATTTATTTTATTTTTTTTTTTTTTATGAGTACATTTTTCTACCAGAGACCTTACTCCGATGTATACGATGTAGGCCCTTTTCTGAATGGAAATTTTTCTTGGGTGGTACTTTGGGGAGTTTATTTTTCGATTTTCTTATTAAATGTGAAAAACCGAAAAAAAAACCGAGGAAAAACGGAAAAATGTACGAAATGGATTTCGTTAATTTCGAAGTATCCTTTTTTTTTTTTTTTTTGTGAACAACTTTTTTACCAACAAATTTGCTCCAATTTACAACGATAGCACTTTTTCTAAAAGGAAATCTGACTAGAGAGGTACTTTAAAGAGGTCATTTTTCGATTTCCCCAGGAGTTTTCCAAACAAATTTGAAAAACCGGAAAAAAACCAGGGAAACCGGGAAAAACGGGAAATTCGGTACAATAAAAACAAATATTACTAAAGAAAATGTATAATGCCTAATTAATTATTTTACCTTAATACTTATGTTATGTATTGTTAACAAAGCATCACTATCAACTGAACTCCGCTCAGAATCGGTTTGGTAAGCAATGGTTTATTGTTGCCCAACTTTTCACCAACAACAGTAGCTGCACCTATCGTGCGAAGTATGTCCATTGTCCGACTTTTTTAAATACAGATTTCCTAAATGACTTTATAAGGATACCTTTAATTTTAACAAAATAACTAAGTTACGGTAAAATTATATATTAAGTAAAATAACTATGTATTTTTCTAAGTTTCTAACATTACATAGTTTGTATTTAGTTAGAATTCATCAAAATCGTAACTCAGACCTCGGGTAACGTTTAGCGTTTAATTATTTTCAATTTACCAAAAAAAAAAAAAGTTCAACCAAACTTCATTCAGAGTGATTTTTCGTTTGTTAAATTAAACAATTTTCGGACTTTCGGTGTATAAACTATATTACATACTTAGTGAACTAAAGTTCTAACCTACAGCAGTGCGGTGCTATCGTATAATTTCCGACTTTTTCGAAACCGGTAAACGGCCATTGCGTAAAAAATATTATTTCGGAAAATAGTTTTATTACGATAATGTTATTTTAATCTCACTGTAAAACAGTGTACCGCTGTGCCGTGTGTAGAAACAAGAAAGTTTTTATGTAAAGAAGAATAATATTTATTTATACCGTGTGATATTATTTTATTTGCTTGTTACGACTCGTAAAACGGCGACGAAGACGTCATTCGGTTTTGTTGTTGTCGTATACGACGACTACGTCTAAAAATGTTTTATTTTAAAATCTAGTATTATTATTTCAATCCAAATTTACATTGTGAGTGCGGTGTAGTAAATATTATTATTTTGTTGGCTGGTCGCGTCCTTCGCGCGATATAAACAAAACGCTAAAAGATGAGCCCGTAAGATTTTTCTAATATAAGTAAAACGACGACGACGGTGATGATAATATTATTTTCGCATGTTTCAAGGTTTGTGTTATAGTATTATGACGACGACTTTAGCGACGGTTTTTGTTTTTGGTCCAAGTCGTATATTATCTACGTATATTCATCCTTTTCCCGCTACTTTTGGACATTATTCACGGTTCTCTCCGGGCCAAACGACCCGAAACTCACGAATAAAAGTCGTTTTAAAAAGCCGATTGAAGGTTGTGGCAAAAGTCAGGATGAATTTCACCGTGTCGTTCCGTTATTACGGGGGGTGGGTGTTTTTTGCGGCATTGAACGTTCCTAAAGATCCGGGACAAATGAAGTCAGGGTGATTACATTTTATGTACGCATCATCATGGCGTTAGTATTAAGAATGTGTTTTTTACACGATGTCTCGACTTTTGACCTCCGCCTTTATCGTTTTTATGCTCAAATGTTACCGCTTCTAATCTCGTTTCTAAAATAGAATAATTTTAGTGTATAACATATACCTATAATACCAGAGATTTTGCCTTTAGTTTTGATTTATTGTATAGTATAAGCGGTTTACACAAAACTAAGCAGGGGGAAGTTCGATTATGAAGACGCAACTTTGATTTTTTGTTTGGTATAAATATTAGACTATTTCATAGTTGCGAAGTATGATTTATGCGAATTATTTCTCAAGTTTTTTTTTTAAACGATTACGACTCCGGACGATATTAACATTATAAATACAACACAAATTTGTATACCTGTTACGTATCTATAAATAGTGTCTTCTTTTAAGGCGCGGCATTTTCGATGTTATATTATTGCAATTGTTTTAGATCGTACGACGGTAAATAGGTATCTATATGGTAAAATTAATATTTACTTGATTTTTCAACAATGAACTCAAAATACCTAGTCAACGAGATGAAAAGGTTTTTTCTGCGTACCACTAGAGAAAACGTTAACGGGTTTAAATTCGATAGATCTAATCTAACATAACCGTATAGGGTAATATTAGTGTAGGTGTTACGCTAATATTTTTGAAAATATTGTCGGGGTACTTAGTCCTTCTCGTAACCCTCTCCCCCAACCATTCGAGCACTGCAGATAGCAGTTAAAAATTAGATTTTGATTGAACGGTGAACAGCCTTTTGTACGGATTGAGTCGGGGATTTATTGCTTTAAAAAATAACCGGACATTAATCCGGTCAAGTTTATTTACTATTTAAGTATCAATTTCAATTTTGTTTTTTATGGTGATTTTCATTGTACGTTCAGAAGTCGTTAATGTTGAAAATTTCCAAGATGTTCAAAATTAGATTTTTATTTTTATTTTTTTGTATGGTATTGTTTATATTATTTACAAATAGGTTGAAATAACGGTAAATGGTATAATAACGCGTAAAATAGTATAAATGTAGGAATTATATTTCACACCGAAACGTCCAGCTCCACTATCAGTAGCAGATTTATCAGAGCTGCTATTTTTATTCTTATATTATGTTTTTGGATTAAAAAAAAAATCGTTAATTTACGTAATTTTCATATAACATAGGAAGGTACTAAACAATAATAATATCAAACGCGCAGAAAAATGACATAACCCCAATAATAGTTGGCTATTGGTAACCGGTTTTTACAGTTAAATTGACAATAATAATGGCGGGAAAAAACACGAATTCAGAAATTAAATGTTATTATAGAGTTTAGCTTCTTGCGAGTTTTTATTTCGGTGATGAACTTATTTATATAAAAATATATCTATTATAATAATGTCATTTTTGGTTCACATGGCTCACACCATCAGTCACATCGAATTTTTTTTCCGCCGCGAGATTATTAAAACAATAATACACTAAAACCATACAAAACTATATACCCGTATGAATAATGATTACTGGACGTTAAAAAAAAAGTTAAAATATGTATAGGTACGAAGAACATAATAATATCCTGTAGTAGCGGTTATGAGTTCACGGGTCCCTGTGGGTTTTTGAATAATATTAATATTATAATTTTGTTCGTTTATCGCCGGCGTCGTAGGTCACGCGAATGAAAAATAACGTAGAAAAAAAAAATTGATAGACCAAACCAATAACTGTGGAGTATTGTCTAAAACATAAATGTTTATCTACTCTACAATATATAGTCTCTCAGTATTGAATTATTAATATTATTATCCATTAGAATAAAAAATCAAAATATATTACTGCAAGGCGCGGGAGTTACAACGAAATAAACGTAATTAAGAGGGTGCTAGGAGGTCTTTAGCACCCCAAAAATATCTAATCATATTTTATAGTATCGACTTA